GCATGTACTTCAGTTGCAGTTTGTCCCCGGCCCTGGTTGGTCGTGCGGGTGGCAGCCACTCGGTGTGTCCTTTTCACGTCGATGTTTCCCTCTCTCTCTCTTCCTCTCTCTCCCTCCCACACTGTCTGTACAAAAAATGGAAAAATGTCCTCGGATGAGGATTAAAAAAAAAAACAAAAAACTAAAATGATAAAAATAAAAAATAAAGTGTAAAATGCAGGTTTTTTGTATATTCATAAGATTGTGCCACCATCACCACAATCTAATTTTAGAACATATTTGTTCCCCTTATGAAGCCCCATTAGCAGTCAGTTCCTATTTCCCTTCACAACCTCCTCTCCAGTCCTCTCAGCCCAAGCAACCACTAATCTAATTTTTGTCTCTATAAATTTGTCTATTATGTAAATTTTACATAAATAAAATCATACAGCCCTGGCCAGTTTGGTTCAGTGGTTAGAGCAAGGCCCACGGACCAAAGGGCCTTGGGTTTGATTCCTGGTCAAGGGCATGTACCTGGGTTGCAGGTTTGTCCCCAGCCCCAGTCAGAATTGTGCAGGAGGCAACCAATAGATGTGTTTCTCTCACATCGATGTTTCTCTCTCTCTCTCCTTTCCACTCTCTCTAAAAAAGTCAATGGAAAAATAACATTCTAGGGTAAGGATTAACCAAGAAAAAGAAGAGGAGGAGGTACAAATTGGCAGTTACAAAATAGTCATGGGGATATGAAGTATAGCATAAGTAAGGGCATTTGGTCAATAATATTGAAATAATTATAAAAGGTGTCATGTGGATGCTAGACTTATTGGGGGGGATATATGTAAGTCATATAAATGTCTAACCACTATACTGTGTACCTGACACTAATATAATGTTGTATGTCAACTGTAATTAAAAAATAAAATTAAGAGTCTCATGCTCTACCAACTGAGCTAGCCAGGCACTCCTAAAAAATAAAATTAATGCCCTGGCCGGTTTGGCTCAGTGGTTGGAGCGTTGGCCTGCGGACCAAAGAGTCCCAGGTTTGGTTCCCGCTAGGGGCACATACCAAAAATTAAAAAAAATAATAATAATAAAATTAAATTAAAAAGAAATGATGGGCCCAACCAGTGTGTCTCAATGGATTGAGCATTGTCCCATGGACTGAGAGGCCCTGGTTTGGTTTTTTTTTATCCTCACCTGAGGACATTTTTGCATTTATCTTCAGACAGAGCGGGAGGGAGAGAGGAAGGAAGAGAGAGAGAGAAAAACATCCATGTGAGAGAGACACATTGAGTGGTTGCCACCCACATGACCCCAACCAAGTGGGGACAAACTGCAACTGAGGTATGTGCCCTTAGCGGGAACCGAACCCGGGACTCTCTGGTCCATAGGCCGACGCTCCAACCGCTGAGCCAAACCAGCCAGGGTGAGAGGCCCTGGTTTGATTCCCAGTTGGTGCACATGCCTGGGTTGCGGACTAGCTCCCCAGTGGGGTCGTGCAGGAGGCAGCCAATTGATGTTACTCTCACATCGTTGTTTCTATCTCTCACTTTCCCTTCCTCTCTCTCTAAAAAAATCAGTACAAACTGATTTTTAAAAAAATGATGGAGTAGGGTGTGAGGGTTAGCGAGAACCAAGAGGAGGTTGTGGGAAGGAAAAGAATAAATTCTAACACAGATGTTTTTCTTCTAACACACATCTCACTTTGCTACTGGTCTGGTCAGGAAGATTTCTGTTGATGCAGTTCACTAATGAATGCTAACTCAGATGAAATATGTCAACCAGAATAGACATGAATCTCAGTTGAAAATGGAAATGTTCTCTGGGTCTTGACGAAGAGAAGGTCAGCACGGTGTTTCTTCCACATACTGGGCCAAACAGAAGCTTCCAATGAAGTTGATGAATGTGGCAGAAGAAAGGGAAAGATGAAAAGAGGAGCAATAGAAAGGAGACAGCGGAGACATTCTTTGTGGGAAGAGACTCTCCTACAAATGCCTCAGTCAGGAAAGACAGGCAAGGCCTTTTATAAAGGATATGTGGAACTCCTGGAGTATTTTGTCATTATAACATTTTATTAATATGAATGAATTAGATAAAAAGAATAGATGCCCAGCTTCTCTATTGCAAAGTAACAAGTGAACCAATTTGGAAACAGGAGGGAAAAGAGAAGTGTCTGCCACATTCCTTCCTTCCTCTGGCCTTTTTTCCTGTCCTTCCCCTCATCTGGAAGGTCGTCACTCCTCCCCTCTGTCTACCTGAGTCTTGTGCAATCCCTGAGATCCAAGCAAGTTCCGAGCCTCCGTGACTATTCCAGTACTCCAGAGCCCCTCTTCACAGGGGCTCCCACAGCATGTCTTCTGTGAACCACATAATTCCTACTAGATGAAGCATGTTGTCTTTGAAAGGTTCTTATATGTGTGTCTTAGAAAACCCCTTGTAAACTCTTTGAGAACAAGGGCCATTTCTTCTGCGGCTGCTCTATCTCCCACAGTGCTGACGACCTAAAAGACCTTCCATTTGGCCTTGCTGACTGACTGACTGACTGAAGGGTTCAGTTCTGCTCGCTTGTTACTGCCAGCTATGCAGAGTGGACAATAAAGTCCATTCATTACGAAATGACAAAGTCAAAGATAGAGGGGCCGAGAAAGTACTTGTGCAGAATTACTTACTGTCTCAAAGGCCTTATGGTAGCCAGATCCCAGAATCCTCAGGTTTGATAGATGTGGAAATAACTTTGAAATATGTGATGGTGCTTTCTGGATTACTATTTCACTTGGGTGGGAGGTGTAAACTAATAAATTAAAATATGGGTTACATGAGTCAGGAAAAGGGAAGATTTCCTGTTATGTGGTTAACTGATAGCCCACAACGTTCTCCTCCCACCTCCCATGTTCCATAGCTGCTAGGGGTTCAGAATATGGCTTTTCGTATTTCTGATATTAACAGTTCTGCTGAAAGAGAGGATGTGATTAGTGGGAGAGAAAGATTCACATTGCCTTATTTTAGTCACTGGATGTCCCAAAGCTTTTTAGGGTGTAAACAATAATCAATATTTCGGAAAGAAAGCTGAATTCACACTACTTTGAATTCTGGGTCTCTTCTCTTCTATGACAACTTTTTTGGGTATCATGCACTCTTACAGAGTCTCATCTTATGACACGGATACAGTTTGCAACTTTTCATGATGCCTAAAACATTTAAGCATTCAGTACATTGAAACTCGTGAGAATTGCTAATTGGCCTTGTAAAACTGCAGCAATGCTTCCCAGGGATCTAAAAGTATTCATACTCACCCACACAGCAGAGGTGGGAAATGACTGTGCTGGCTTGGTTTTCTTGTAATAGTCCAGTGGCATGGCTTCCTTATTGTCCTTAAGCTATATTTAAAGAAACTGCTCCAGCCCTGGCCAGTTTGGCTTAGCAGTTAGAGCATCAGCCCGCCGACCAGAGTCACAGGTTCAGTTCCAGTCAAGGGCATGTACCTCAACTGTGGTTCGTCCCGGGCCCTGGTTGGGGTCATGTGGGAGGCAGTCAGTAGATGTGTCTCTCTCACTTAGATATTTCTCTCTCTACCTCCCTCCCACTCTATCTGAAGATAAATGAAAAAATGTCCTCAGGTGAGAATAAAAAAAAAAAAGAACCTGCTCCAGAATAAGATTAGACTTGATTTAAAAAAAAAAAAATCACTTAAGCCCTGGCTGTTTTGGTTCAGTGGTTAGAGCATCAGCCCGCAGACCAATGAGTCACGGGTTCGATTCCGGTCAAGGGCAAGTGCCTGGATTGCGGTTAGTCCCCAGCCCTGGTTGGGTCGTGCAGGAGGACACCAGTTGTGGCTCTATCACATCAATGTTTCTCTCTGTCTCTCTCTCTCTCCCTCCCTCTTACTCTGTCTGATGATAAATGGAAAAATATCCTCAGGTGAGGAATAAAAATTTAAAAAAAAATCACTGCCCTGGCCGGTTTGGCTCAGCGGTTAGAGCGTCGGCCTGCGGTCCCGAGAGACCCGGGTTCGGTTCCCGCTAAGGGCATGTACCTCAGTTGCAGTTTGTCCCCGGCTCTGGTCAGTCGTGCGGGTGGCAGCCACTCGATGTGTCCCTTCACATCGATGTTTCTCTCTCTCTCTGTTCCTCTCTCCCCCTCCTACTCTACCTGAACAAAAAATGGAAAAATGTCCTCGAGGGAGGATAAAAAATAAAAAATAAAAAATAATCACTTAAGCTGTTTCTTTCCTAGAGAAATGAATTCTAGTCTGGGTTTTAGAAAGTTCTTTATATAGCTTGCAAAAGATTCCGGGTTGCCCTGGCCAGTTTGGCTCAGCAGTTGAGCGTTGGCCTGCGGACCAGAGAGTCCCAGGTTTGGTTCCCGCTAGGGGCATGTAACACACACACACAAAAAAGGTGGGGTCTTTCAGTATTTCTTCTCTAGTAAAACTTACAGCTCTGACCTATATTCAGTGTGACTTTTCTGGGGTATGGAAAAATATGCTCTATTGCCTACTGTGATATCTTTAACCCTCTGTGTAAATAGTGCTCATTAAAAAACCAAGTCTACTGCCCTGGCTGATTGGTTCATCAGTTGGAGCAACAGCCCACAGACTAAAGAGTCACGGGTTCGATTCCTGTCAGGGGAATGTGCCTCAGTTGCGATACGATCCCTGGCCATGGTTGGGGTTGTGGAGGAGGTGGCCAATCAATGTGTCTCTCTCACATAAATGTTTCTCTCTTTCTCTCTCTCTCTCTCTCTCTCTCTTTCTCTCTCTCTCTCCCTCTCTCTCTCCCCCTCCTTCCCACTCTATCTGAAGATCAATGGAGGAGTGTCCTTGGGTGAGGATTTTTTAAAAAGTGAAAAAAAACAAGTCTACTGTTAAATAGGTATTTCTTTATAAGCATGACAGGTAATACAACATCAATGAAAGAAAATATGACTGGGTTCACTGCTACCTGTGTCTTAGAACAAGAGAAAGTCTCATCCTAAAAATAACCATCTTTCCTTCCAAAGGAAGAGGATATGACCCCGAAAAACCTTGTCTTTGAGTATTTACCCAGCTAGAAATCTGGGTTGTCAGATCCAAATGGTCCCATTGCAATCCTTTTTTCCCGAGTGGTGCGTAGATCATTGACAAGTGATGAGTGACCTCTGCTTCTTGCATTTAGGCCGAGGACTGGACTCCGTGACCAGGGATTTGGTGTGTGAGGCCTCATAGGCTGCAGAGTAATATTAACATATGAGTGCATATGCAAAACATGTAGTCTCAATTGAACAGTAGACCCAAAGAGAAAGCCTCTTTAGCCATGGTTTATCAGAATAGCTCTATAAACTACTATAATAAATAAGAAAATAGAATCTATGTGTTTAAGACCTGACTCTTTTGACTCCAGTCAGGAGCCTTATGGGGAAAACACACCTGATTTGCCCACCCAAGAAGGCTTGAGCATCTATTTGCATGGTGATCTTTGAGGTTTGCCTCTGTTTTCTATGTCTTTATTATTATGCAGATGAAGCAGCAACTCAAAAGTTATGTAGTTATGACTAAAAAGTTTTATTCCTGATATGTGTTGAGGAAGTGGATTCACTGAGGGTGGATAGCCCCTGGGGACCCAGCACTGCTGTATTTCAAACCCATAATTCAATGTAGTGATGGCCAGGGTTGAGCTTGTACTTGGTTAGAGCTAGATTAAATCATCCCCAGGAATTTAAAGAGTTCTGATATCAAAATAGGTTTCTATATTACTCCTTGAAATAATAAGAGAATATCCTCACCCCCAAAAGAATTCTCAGCTTAGGAGAAAGGTATAAATAGAAGCCTATTTACTATATGTTTAGCTATTTAAATGTTATGAGTCAACCTAACAAACAATCTAACAAACTGTTGAGTAAAATACATTCTATCCACCTACCTTGACAAGGAGACCCAGACCTGCATTTGAAATTTTTAGATTCTTTGACGTTTCTTACTAAAACTTAGCAGTGCAGGAAAGCTAACCTGCAGTACACCTGTCTCTGTCTGTTCCCAGTTCCATTTCACACTCTGAGGGCCTCACACATACACACGTGGAAACTTCGGACTGCATGTCCAAGTTCTGTTCATATACTGCTCTAACCAACTGCTATGGGCTACCCATTGAGTCTAAGCGTGCGCATGTTTGCAATGCAGGCCACTCTTAGGAAGACATGAGTCCACACAAGCCCTAAAAATGGGCAGGGAATCCCAGAGTCTTGGCTACCCAGTGTGTATAATCTATAAAGCAGTATGTGGGCTCTAGTAGGATGTGCCAATTTTGGCCCCATAGATTCCTTACTCTATGGAGAGGCATGTGGCCAGAGGTCAGAGCTGAGTCCTCCAAAGCGGAGGCCCCAGGGCAGGTCAGGCCCGTACTAGTGTGTCACTGGTTAGATAATTGCTAGCCATCCTGACACAGATTGCCTCACAGGAAATCTACTGTTGCCCACAGTGCCCACTAAACTGGTGATGTGACATGAAGGTGCAGGACCATAGGTTGATAAGAATATGTCCTATGGTGCCCAACATTGAAGAATGTTGGTAATGGAGGAAAAACAAGATGTGAAATGTACAAGGCCAAAAGCTAGTTTATGGAAAATTCTTCTAATCATCACATGTATAAAATTATAAAAGAAGGATTTAGTTTCCATTTAATGCCTAGTCAAAAAAAGTTGTCTCCTGATAATGCAGCATTATAAATGCATCATACATCTTTCTTTTTTGATAGGAATCAAGTAAAATAGAACATATCAGATTGTGTACTTGTAGGAAGCAAAGCTATAGTGGTACTACAAACAGTGAGCTTGTCTTTGTGTAGATGTATCTTCCTTTTTTGTTAGATAAATAGGAACATCTAATTATTTTAATGGGATTATTTCTAATTTTATGCTTGATTATTCTTTAATTAATTTCAAAAGCCTAATACTAGATTTTGATATATGCCCACTCACACATTTGCAGAAAGAATACCATTCCTCTAATAATATATTTTTAAACAGTACAGAAGTCTTTTTTTCCCCACATGTATCATGCCATGAATTCACAGGGAATGGGTTCGAACAGCCCAGGTTCCTTTCCATTGGTTCTCACAGAGTGTGTTTTTCTGGGTGGAGCAGGCTGGCACTTCAGTTGAATCCAGGTACCTTTCTCTTTGGCTTCCTTCTTTTTCTGATCATTTTCCTTCATACATTTCAGGAAGCTATCTCAGCTCTTAGAGTGCTTTATGTATTTATTTATTTTATTTATTGATTTTTTAGAGAGAGGGGAAAGGAGAGGAGAGAGAGAAACATCGATGAGAGAACATCGATTGGCCACCTCCTGCATGCCCTCCACTTGGGATTAGGCCCATAACCTGGGCATGTGCCCTGACCCGGAATTGAACCGGTGACCTCTTGGTGCATGGCTGGACTCTTAGAGTGCTTTATATGCTCAATATGTACATTAATTCATTTGGCAAGAAGCTTGCCCTTGTTTGTTCACAACAATGCCCACCGAAGGCTGAGTGACATTGTAGACTCCTCTAGTTTTGCCATGGTAATGTTTGTGGGGCATTCCTTTTTGAACAGGGCCCATTCCTTTGATGTCTACAACATCACCTTTCTTGTAGATTCATATGCATGTAGGCAGAGGAACAACTCCAGGTTTTCTACAAGGCATGGAGAACGTATAGCAGATGTCTCTCTTCTTTCCCTTTGTATTAGTCATTTTGGCAAATTACTGGAAGATGGTGGTTTCAGTCAAAGGCTAATATTTCTTATTTCACAAACAACATAATTGCAGCTATTATATATATTACATTATTAATAGTAATAAGAACCAACCTACTATTTATTATCTTATTTTTTATTGCTTTATAAAATGGATAAATCAATTATAATGGACCATTTCAATTTAATTTTTACTTTTAGGATCTATTCCTCTATCAATTGTTTTTATTATACTCTTTGAATATTATACTTGAAATGAAAAATCAAGTCAAGCCCTGGCCAGTTTGGCTCAGCGGATGAGCGTCGGCCTGCGGACCAGAGAGTCCCGGGTTCGGTTCCCGCTAGGGGCACATACCACAAAAAAAAAAAAAGAAAGAAAGAAAAATCAAGTCATGATAAAAAGTAAGTCTGACTTGCACATGGATGTTTGTAGCAGCTTTACTCATGATCACCAGAACCAGAAGCAACCCAATGTCCTTCAATATGTGAATGGAAAAACAAACTGCGAAAGATAAGAAATGAGCTATCAAGCCACAAAAAGACATGAATGAATCTCCTTAAATGTATATTGATTGCTAACTGGTAGAGCCAGCCTAAAGAGGCTACACATAATGTATGATTTTAATTATATTACATTCTGGAAAATGCAAAAGTATAGACATGATAAAAAGATTAGATGCCCGAGGATATTATTTGCCAGGTAATATCCTAAGCACTTTACATGCGTGGAAAATGAACTTATTTGCATAATAACTCTTTTGATCAGATACTTTTAGCTTCTTCATTTTTCAGGCAAGAAAACTGAGACATGGAGAAATTTAGGAACTTACTCAGTTATATAGTTAGTAACTGCTAGAGTTAGGATTTAAATCTTTAAATTCTGACACCAGAGCCAAAAAAAATAAAAAAAGATTAGACACCAGCCAGTGTGGCTCAGTGGTTGAGCACTGACCCATGTACCAAGATTCCAGGTCAGGGCACATGCCCAGATTGTGGGCCAAATCCCCAGTGGGGGGCATGCAGGAGGCAGCTAATGGATGTTCTCTCTCCTCAATGTTTCTATCTCTATCTCCCTCTCCCTTCCTCTCTGTCAAATCAATAAAGAAAAAGAAAAAAGATTAGTGATAATCTTACCATCAAGTTCCTTTGTTTTTTTTTAAAGGGGAATTATATTGATTAAAATTAAAAAAGAGCTAGGCAAGCAATCATTAGAGATCAGGGGAAAATGAAGTTTATAGTTTAATAAACACCTTTTTTTTTTTTAATGTTTTTATTCACATTTTGGAGAGAGAAGGGATTGAAAGATAGAAACATTGGTGTGAAAAACACCCATTGGCTGCCTCCTGCACACCCCCTACTGGAGATCAAGCCTGCAACCTGGGCATGTGCCCTGACCAGGAATCGAACAGGGACCTCTCAGTTCATGGGACAGCACTCAATCCACTAAGCCACACCAGTCGGGCAAAAAAAAAACACCATATTTTTAATGGCACAGGTGATATATGTTCAATGTAAAAAGTCCAGAACATAAAAATAAACAAAGAAGAAGAAAATAAAAATCACCTGGAATCCCACTATCCAAAGTTAACCACTGTTAAATACTGCAGTGTAAAGACGCCCAAACTTTTTTTCAGTAGTGTGAATGAATCTGTGTATGAATGGATAGATATACACAGACATCGACATGCAAAATACATATCCCCCAAGTGGGACCCTACTGTATTACTTATTTTGTTTTTTCCACTTAAAATATATTAAGATCATTATTCCATATCATTAAGTTATATTTCTGAAAATGGTTATTTATTTATTTATTTTTTATCCTCACCCGAGGATATTTTTCCATTTTTTTTGTACAGAAAGAGTGGGAGGGAGAGAGAGGAAGGGAGAGAGAGAGAGAAACATCGACGTGAAGGGACACATCGAGTGGCTGCCACCCGCACGACCAACCAGGGCCAGGACAAACTGCAACCTAAGTACGTGCCCTTAGCGGGAACTGAACCCGGGTCTCTCCAGACCGCAGGCCGATGCTCTAACCACTGAGCCAAACTGGCCAGGGCTTTTTACTTTTTTTTTTTTGAAAATGGTTATTAATAGATGCTTTTGTAGTGAAAACTAAGTAGAGTCACAGGAAAAGTGATGAAATTAAAGATAAGTCGGGCTCCATAAGGTCACAAGGGAAAGTAGGAGACAACCAGCAACAATATTCTTCTAGAAAAGCACAAAATGTTGGGGGGGAAAAAAGGTTGAGGTCACAGGAAAGACTGGAAGTGAGAGATATTTGTACAGGATGTGGAAAAGACAAATGTGCAGCCTTCCTCTAGCTGAGCAGACTGTCCCTCTGCTTTGTGAGCAAACAAGCACAGTTCATCCCCCTAGTTCACGTCAGAACATGTCCATTGTATATTGAAAACCAAATCTTTGAAAAGGCAATTATAGCTCCAGTTGACAAACTTGACCTGCCTTCTTCAGCATTTCCCCCGGGGATCTGAATCAG